AAAGGAGATTATTTTTTTCCTATTTGGTTTTTGTTGATTCCCCCTGCCTTCCCTGCAGAAGTTTTATTCTGGTGATGTAGTTAACACGTTTAGGATCAGCTAAGAAATTTGCTACAAGAGAACAATTGGAATGCCCCAATTAAAAGACAATCGTATTTTTAAGCTATAGATTTTGGAAAGATGATTGTAATGTTCAGTCATCTCATACAGAGACTTAAAAAAAAAAAAAAAAGAATGGGATAAATCTAGAAGTTCCTAGTTCAGAACAAAGGCATGAGTTGAAGATTTCATTACCTTCTTCTAATTTAATATTTAGTGGCATTAACTATAGTGGGATGCTTTTAAATAGTGATTATGTCTTGTAGTCGAGTTGATTCATATTTTTAAAATAAAACTATGGTAATTAAGGAAGCAATAATATTTTGTCAAGTTTATTTACCCCATGTGTAGATCAATCCAGGGTGTGTAGGACATTCATTTAAAGTTGCTCATCTCCTTATCAATGGAGAACTGTTAAGGCACATCTTATTCTTTGCCAGTTACACTGCAAGTTTAGCTCTGGGATGTTGGGTGTCTGTCACACTGGGTGATGTAGGTTTTAAGTGGAAGTGTTAGGACTATTATGGCCTTTGGGGATTATGAAGGAAAAGGTGTACATATCAGCAAAATGTAAAATAGAATTCTTTACACTTATGGGTGTTAGGTCTGGTTCTTAATCAGAGTATGTAGGAGAGGTATGTTAAACCTTGCCTCTCTTGAACGGAGTATACCTGGATTGTGTTCTCTTTATTCTTTATTTTGTATGTTGGTTAAAGTGGCTTTTTTCTTTTGTGTCACTTTTGGGTGGTTTCCATTTCATGATATGTGTTTTCCCCAGAGAAGCTAGTCTGCCTAGCTTAATTCAGTGTGGTGAGGTACAAGGTAGCCCTGTGTTTTCCTGAATGGATTTACTCTGCCATATGGCAGGTTAGTGAGTTGCCACGACAGATTTGTAATGGGGAAAGGGCTGTGCAGGAAAGGATGTGCGTGATCAGCAGATTTATAGATCAGAAAATGAAATCGGAAGAAAGAATTTCCAGAGTGCCCTTTCCATTTGACAGCTCTTCACGGAGAGGGTGTGGAATGGTTCTTTGGTGTTTTTCTATTTGGGCTTTTGGCTGTTCAGCATAGGCCTTGATTTTGCAAGGCATCACTGTTCCGAGTGTTGTGTTGCTGGCTTCCTGTTCACAGAGATATTCTCTTTGTAGGATTTAAAGCTGTGCTGAGTTTCATGTGATAAGATCTCTGTAGCAATTAAATTCCTGAAGACACATCAAGGCTCCTGTTGGCTAAAATGGGGATTTGCCAGGTTTTGAGTCATAAGAAGAGGCTATTCAGATACGATTCAGTGAGTACTGAATCTTTCAAAGGAAAGAAAACAAAAAGAAAAGCCGAGTGAGCTAAAGATTTATATGTCCTGGTGTATTTAAGTCTGTGCTATCCAGTATTGCAGCCACTACCCATATATGGTTATTTAAATTTAAATTAATCAAAATTAGGAGCACCTGGGTGGCTTAGTTGGCTAAGTGTTAGATTCTTGATTTCGTCTCAGGTCATGATCTCTAGGTTTGTGGGTTTGAGCCACATATCAGGCTCTGTGCAGACAGCACAGAGCCTGCTTGAGATGTGCAGACAGCACAGAGCCTGCTTGAGAGTCTCTCCCTCTATCTGCCCCTCTTCTGCTCTCTCTCTCTCTCTCTCAAAATAAATAAATAAACCTTTAAAAGTTAAATTAATTAAAATTAAATAAAACTAAAGGTTCAGTCCCTCATTCTCACTAGCCACATTGCAAGTACTCAATAGGCACAGGTGGCCAGTTAATACAGTATTAAGCAGCACAGATAAATTATATTTCCATTATTGCTGGAAGTTCTATTGGATAATTAATGTTGGTCGAAGTAGAAGATGTCGAGAAAGAAAATTCTTTCTTTGATTTCCATGAGGACATCTTCATCCCTATCATTTACTGGATTAGTGCAGTGGTTCTGAGGTTTTAATGCACAAGCGAGTCCTCTGTAGGCCTTATTTTAAATGGAGACTTGAGACCCCTCCCCAGATTCTGATTCATTAGGTTTGGAGCTGTGACCAGAAATCTGTACAAATAACAAGTATCCTAGGGAATTCTGATGCTGGTAATGGCTCAGAAACTACATTTTGAAAAATATTAAGTGAGGAACTTGAGAGCTGCCAGTCTCTTGATTTTGCTTCCCCCTTCGCTCTATAATTATTGACTTTCTTTTGTGTCCCCAGTAATTGGTTGCAAGCACCATGCATACTCAACTTCAACTTTTGGTTGGTAATAAATAGCAAAAAGAAAATTCATTTATTTACCATCTCATCTTTTTAATATATGTACGTTTTAATTTAGCTGTGCCCTACAAAAAGTAAAAAGAGGGGCGCCTGGGTATGAAGTCGGGTTATCACTTCAGCCAGGTCATCATCTCGCTGTCCGCGGAGTCTCGGTGCCCCACCGCTGCCTCTGGGCTGATGGCTCGGAGCCTGGAGCCTGTTTTCCGATTCTGTGTCTCCCTCTCTCTGCCCTCCTCGCTCATGTCAGTCTCTGTCCCAAAAAAAAAAAAAACGTTGAAAAATTAAAAAAAAAAAAAAATGGTTAATTCAGTGCCATTCTGGACCGTGGAAGGTAAGTCTGACAGAACACCTCTGACCACTAAGAGTTGAGCACCCACAAGTTGTGAAGCTATAAAGGGGTGAAAAAAGAAATATAACACATGATCTTCTCACCGAAGAAGATTATATCTAGTTAGGAAATACATCCAGAGACTTACAGGGCACTTAGTAAAACAAATCAATAATTAGAAAAATAATGTAGGAGAACCTAAATCCTGAAAGAACTCAAAGGAAAAGCATGATCTGTCTTGATTGAAGATCACCTAGGTTGCTTTCTTTTGTATGATTTAAGGGTTTCTTATCTAGGGACATGGCCTTTGCCAATCTGGAATGTGGGCAAGGCTGTAATAGGAAGGATCTCTATTTGTCCCAGGTATCTAGTTGTAGGTTTTAGCAATCGGACAAGGCCAAAAAGGGCATCTGGAAACCAATTAAAGGAACTACTCAGAATTTACTGGATTTAAAACTTCTCTGGTGACTTATTATCGTCTCATTTGCTCACAGAAATGAAGGTGTAGAAGAAATGGGGTTGAAGGAAGTTTATAGGAGGAAATACCTTTAGGAAATTTAAATATTGGTACTGGCAAGGAAAAAAAAAAAACTGTCAAGGTTCCAAAGAATAAAGAGTTTTCTTTTAAATTAATTGTCTAGCCTCTTTTCCTTAGAGAAATTGCCCATTAGGTTTCTCGGAAGACCAATATGGAAGAAGCAATGTTAGGAAGACAGGAAGAAGAAGAAAAAAAGCTCAACATGTTGCCACTATTTTAAAAAGCATTTTCATGTATATCATCTGGAAGATTTGCTTTTTTTTTTTTTTTTTTTTTTGCTTGGTAGTTTGGTTAAACCAGTAGCCACTCCATCACTTGTCCTAAGAGATCTAATTCGGTATTTACATATACTTTTAGTAACGAAAGTAAAAGTTTTCCCACCGTTTCTACAAGATGTACATGTTCTTTTCACATTGTCTTAGTCCTTCAGGGTTGCTATAACAAAAATACCATGACTCGGTGGCTTATAAACAGCAAATGTTTCTCTTAGTTTGAAGGCTGGGATGTCCCAAGATCATGGCACCAGATTCCATGTCTGGTAAGGACTTCCTGATTCACGGCTTTTCACTGTGTCCTCACATGGGTGAGGGGTGAGGGAACTGTTTTATAAGGACACTAAAATCCCATTCGTGAAGGCTCATTCCATGAGGGTCAACCCATTCATGACCTGATCATCTCCCAAAGGCCCTGCCTCCTAATACCATCACCTTGGGCAAGGGGCATTTTAGCACATGAATGGGGGTTACACAAACATTCAGACCATAGTGGACATATAAAATGTTATTTAGATTGGGGTGCCTTGCTGGATCAGTCGGTAGAGCACGCGACTCTTGATCTAGGGGTTGTGAGTTTGAGCACCATGCTGGGTGTAGAGCCTACTACAAAAAAAAAAAAAAAAAAGGAAGTTATTTAGATTCAGACTCACAGACTGTCTCCTTAGCCAGGTTCTTTGGACCCAAGAAAAGAAAAATGGCACCTTAGGGACACCTGGGTGGCTAAGTCAGTTATGCATCCAACTTCAGCTTAGGTCATGATCTCAAGGTTCATGAGTTCAAGCCTTGTGTCAGGCTCTGTGCTGACAGCTCAGAGCCTGGAGCCTGCTTCAGATTCTGTGTCTCCCTCGCTCTCTGCCCCTCCCCTGCTCGCACTCTGTTTCTCTCTCTCTCAAAAATAAACATTAAAAATCTTTTAAAGAAAAATGGCACCTTGTACTGTAGAGGACTTTCTCTTTCTTACCTTTACCTGTCCTGTTACCTCAATTTTGAAATACATTGAAACTGACCTAAGATTGCCTTTACATTTGAGGGTCTTCATCTCTCACTGGTATTTGAAACATTATGTCTCTCCTCTCCTGTCCCTTTGTGCATACAACTAGGGTCTTAATCAGTACAAGATACAGAGGACATGATCAGTTCAGAGATGGTTCAGAATACAAGTTTCTTTCCCCTGGTGGCTAGTTGGGTGCAATGTGAATGAACTAAGGGTAATGACATTACCTAAGGAATACAAATCAGCCTCACGTAAAAATTAGCTGATATTCGGGAATTTATACAAGCTTAGAAAATGTAAAGATTCGACTTAGTGCCAAGCACTCCCCCCAAGACAGTATTTTATTTCTTAACTTCCTTCCAAAGGAACCAATTTTGAATTGAAAACTAGTGAGCATTGAGTTGAAAACGGCGGTTGCAAGCCTTTTTCTAGGAAAAGATTTTGCTGAAAGCTCTCTCTCTCTCTCTTCTGGGGCTCTGTCGTGCCAGGTTGAAAGACTGGAGCCTTCTATAAGACATGGATAGATGCAAACATGTCGGGCGGTTGCGGCTCGCCCAGGACCACTCCATCCTGAACCCGCAGAAGTGGTGCTGCAAGGAGTGCGCCACCACCGAGTCGGTGTGGGCTTGTCTCAAGTGCTCCCACGTGGCCTGCGGCCGCTACATCGAGGATCACGCCCTTAAACACTTTGAGGAGACTGGGCACCCGCTAGCTATGGAGGTCCGAGATCTGTACGTGTTCTGTTACCTGTGCAAGGACTATGTGCTCAACGATAACCCCGAGGGGGACCTGAAGCTGCTCAGAAGCTCCCTCCTGGCGGTCAGGGGCCAGAAGCAGGACCCGCCGCTGAGGCGCGGCCGGACGCTGCGGTCCATGGCCTCGGGCGAGGACCCCGTCCCGCCGCAGCGCGCTCCTCAGGGACAGCCGCAGATGCTCACGGCTCTGTGGTACCGGCGCCAGCGCCTGCTGGCCAAGACGCTGCGGCTCTGGTTCGAGAAGAGCTCCCGCGGCCAGGCGAAGCTGGAGCAGCGGCGGCAGGAGGAGGCGCTGGAACGCAAGAAGGAGGAGGCGCGGCAGCGGCGGCGCGAGGTGAAGCGGCGGCTGCTGGAGGAGCTGGCCAGCGCCCCTCCGCGCAAGAGCGCGCGCCTGCTGCTGCACG